GGCAGAACGTAGCGTACCACCCAGCGACGGCGGGGTAAAATTGCCGAAATTAATGGCAACACTTACGGATAAAAAAGAGTACACGGTTCACTATAAAAATTTAAAACAAATGCTAGCTAATGGGTTAAAGTTAACGAAAATCCATAAAATTTTACAATTTAAACAAGCAGCCTGGCTGAAACCCTACATCGAGTTGAATACTCGATGTAGAGCTGCAGCCCGGAATGATTTCGAAAAAAATCTTTTTAAATTAATGAATAATGCAGTATTCGGTAAGACCATGGAAAATATACGTAAGCACCGCGTATGTAAAATCGTTAAATCTTGGGGTGGTCGCTATGGGGCAGCAAACTTGATTTCGAGTTTTCGGTTCCACAGTCGCACAATTTTAGAGGAAAATCTGGTGGTTATCGAATTGAACAAGGCTGAAATAACGTTTAACAAACCTCTGTATGTAGGGCAGGCAATTCTAGACCTATCGAAACTAGTCATGTACGATTTTCATTACACCTATATGCTACCAAAAATGGGTGCAGAAAGGTGTAAGCTCATGTACATGGACACAGACAGTTTTATCTACGAATTGCAATGTGAGGATGCATATGAGGAGATCATTAAAGCTGATTCCAGTAAATTTGATACTTCGGATTATCCTGAAAATAACATATATAAAATACTGCGTAAGAACAAAAAGGTGCCGGGTCTAATGAAAGATGAAAATAACGGTAAAATTATGACACATTTTGTTGGACTTCGAAGCAAAATGTATAGTTACAAGGTGCAGGGTGGGAAGGTGGTTAAAAAATCTAAAGGGGTTAAGTACAATGTTGTTAAAAATAAAATTGCATTTGAGGATTATGTTGAATGTTTGAAAGAATTTAAGGAAAAAACAGCTACACAACGCTGTATCAGGTCGTATGCACACAACGTATATTCTGTTGAACAGTCAAAAATTAGTTTAAGTCCGTATGACGACAAACGTTATTTAATTCCGAACAGTTTTGACACACTTCCGTGGGGGCATTACAGTATCTTATAATAGCGTTTTTTTTTTGTTATAGATGAATGCCCCAACATTATCAGAGTTAGCTGTTAGAAAAATTTGCGAATCAATAACATCATCAGCAGTAGAATTCATGGAGCAGTCTCCACTACCATGGAAATTAACTACGGAAATTGTGAAACAATTTCCTTTATATAAATGGCACGCTATGATTAAAGAAGCCAAAAATGATCTTGATTCTTCATATACAGGAATTAACTTTATTAGATGTCACAAAGAAATAGATCCAAATTTAATTCACACTATATTAGGAAAATCAGATTGGGGTTATGTTTTGAAGATTATTCTAGTTACTGTCTATGGACAAGTGGATATTGGCTGGACCAATATTACCTACACGTATGTAAAATTGTTTATCTAAATTTAAAGAAATACATAAAACTTTAAATAAACGTTTATTTGCCTGCTATGACCATTCTCACGAGGTTCACGATGCACATGACATTATTTTGAACGTATACCAAAAAAAGTATAATTGGTGTCACAGCTGCTTTAAAAGCGTAGTGTTTGAACTAAAAGACCAGGAATCTTGCAGAGATGCCTTACATGATAGGTCTAGAAATAACATCCGAATCCGATTTGATGAATCTGATGTAGACAGCGATATTGAGTTTTAAAAAAAAAACATCACAGCAAACAAATTACAAAAAATATATAAAAAGCGTTCATCCGTCCTCCAGTTTCTCTCTATCTATTGTACTAACATTTATATATATATTTTTTTTCAAACATGTATGTAGTACTAACATTTATATATATATATATTTTTTCAAACATGTATGTAATTAGATTTAATAAATGAATATTTATAAAAAGATGTTTTATTGATTTCGTTAGATTTTTCTAGTAAGAAGAGTTCACAACAACAACAACAACAAGATGTCCTGATAGCTTGAGTCGTCAGAGGTGTGCAACATCAGAAGCAATGTTAGTGCGTGGTTGGAGTTCAAACTTAGCGTGTTCAAAAACAAAAAAAAAAACACGCACACACATAATACTAACATTACTTCTGATGTTGTGGCGCGGTTCTTCGGGCTATCAAGACATCTTTTTGGTATTTTTGAACAAAGTGTGCACGTCACGTGCGTCACGTATCACGTCACGTGCGTCACGTATCACGTCACGTGCGTCACGTATCACGTCACGTGCGTCACGTGTCACGTCACGTGCGTCACGTGTCACGTCACGTACGTCACGTGTCACGTCACGTCACGTGTCACGTTACGTGACGTATATCATAATGAAACGACAGATATGCATTTTTACAAAAACTTTATTAAAATCGTTCAAGATCATTAGCGATCCTATGTCTATAGAAAAATATATGTTGTCCTAACGCTATATGTTGTAAAGTACAGCCTACGAGCTTAAATGTATACAATTTTTGAATAGCATCTGAAAACGTATAATTTTGATCATTAAAACTAGCTCGAACAATCTTAAGCGCATTATAATAATAGCTTGGAAATTCAACAGTTTCTAGCATAGACATATACGGTACTAAAAGTTCATTATTTGCTTCTAAAAGAGCGTTCACGTCCATTTCTGAGAGGTAGAAACTAATGTTGTGCTTGGTTATTTCGAGAATTTTCGTACTATCATAGATTAGTCGTCGAATTCTGCAATAGTCACCGCACTCGATTTCGACAGGATCATACTTGTCAGGAAGGTTCTTCTCCTCCTCCTGCTCCTCCGTCTCCTTCACCGTTACCACATTGAGCTGGGTGATTAATTGTTCCCACTCATAGGAACTGAAAGATAGTTTCAACCGTGATGAGTTCCACACAATTACAGCAGGAGTAAATGATCTCGCTGGGCTTAGACCGCATCCAATTTGGTATGATCCATTTGGAAACTGCGTGTACAGCAGATAATGGTCCTCGTTCTTGGCCGCTTCTTCGTACCTTTCCAGAATAGCATCCAGCTCACGGTCGTAGTTTACAGATGATTCGTGTGAGCTGCTGGTGGTGAGGTCAAACTCGCTGCAACTTGAACCACTAGCACTGGTATCCATTTTTTTTTTTACTAGCTGCCTGACTGACTGACTGACTGACTGCAACCGACTGAGAACTCACTTTTAGCAGAAACCCCCCCACCCCATACACCTAGACGATCGCATCATTGTCAATCCAACTATTATGTTTTGCATCAAGGCCAAGCCATTTGACGTACATTTTTTTACCTTTACGACGTAAAACTTTTTCAACTAAATAAACATCTGGATTGGCTGTTTTCTGTAATTCTTCGTCATAAAAGGCTCCTTTGATCGGTGCACCTTGCATATCTTCGAGCATGTACGTTGCAGGGTTGGTAATATTAATTTTAGTAACTTTAAATAATTCCGTTGTCCAGCTTGGAACGTATCCCTTGTCGAATAGCATTTTGGTTTTGCTGATGCGTACAATGTCACCAACTTTAAACTTACGCGGGCCCGCGATTTTTAAATGAGTATATTTTCGATTTAAGATACATTTTTCGTTGGATTTATTAATTTGTGATGGTTTACATCCGATGGTTTGATGACGTGTTCCATTGTATTCATTGGTAATGCTTTGTAATATATCAATCCATTTATACGATCCCATTAAGCTAAAGTATTTGTAAAGTTTATTTTTCAACGTCCTTATGGCTCTTTCAGCAATGGCCGCTTTCTTGATGCTATATGTACTATAATGATTAATATCATGCTTCTTCATTAAAGTTTGAAATTTACTATTGTAAAATTCTTTACCTTGATCAGATTGTAGATTTTTCGGCGTACGTTCCGTATGTGCGAGGATATCCGAAAACGCACGAGTTATCTCCTCACCCGTCTTTGTCTTTAACGGTCTAGTCCACATAAACTTGGAAAAAGAATCGATTACGACGAGAATTAATTTGAAATTTTTATTTTGATGAGCATAAGGTCGCATTTCAGCCAAGTCCGTCTGCCATAAATCGTCTAAGCCTTTAATGATGGTACGTCGTCTTAGATAATTTTTTCGAGCAGGCTTGTGCAGCTCGTTAACTAGTTGTAGCTTCTCCTTGGCGTACGTCATCATGTTTTAACGCTTTAAATTGTTGTTCCATCGGCTTTATACGCTTAGCAAGATCGTCTGTTTTCAATGATATATATGATGTGCGTCCTTGCAAAAGTTGTAATTCAGAGGATAAATCAATGATATTTTTCCGTATTGGAGTCAAATCGGTATGAGACTTAATTGTAGCCAACTCCTGTTCTATTCTTGTTGTTATATTTGCAATAGAGTCATCTACATATTTTTTTGTTGCCATATGTTTACCAGAAGTAGGCGGATTTCTCGAAATAAACTCTGTTATTTGATCTGTTTTTGCTGTTATTTTTTTTAAATCAATCACTGAAGTATCTACGTATTTTTTAGTTGCCGCATCTGAATTATCTGTGGGATCTTTTATATTACACAACTTTACGTTCTTGAAGTCAACATTTCCATCAGAAGTATGGGGTAGTGTTAACTTTGGCGGTGTACGCATATACGGAAGTGTCTTTTGTTTATCAAAGCGACGTCCGAATTTATCAAGACTCATCGTGTAAATGAAAGACCAAGGAACTAGATTACTGTATTATATTAGCTTCTTTTAGCTCGTTGAGGATGGCTACTATTTCATTATCATGCGACGTATTGCCAGCTTCCTGAGATGCCATAAGGAGTTTAACCCTTTCAGATCCAATTTTTGTTTTCTGTTCTTTAAGAATATTTTTGACAAATATGGGTTTTTAGCAAGTAATATAGGAAAATATTTTAATTGGAATAAACATTTTCAAAATTTTGAAAAAATTAGTGGTGGGACAAATATAACCCAGTGGGTGTTTTAAATGGGACATATTGGTCCCAAAGGGAAAACAAAACAGGTTTTATGCGCTTCAAAGATATTACAGTTTTATTTCAAAAAACAAAAAGCATAAAGGTTTCATTACTTAAGAAGTATGGTAAAGGGCAAAACAATGTTTACATAATCCTACATTACACATTGTACAAATAGTAGTGGTTCTACGCTCCTTTTTTTGTATAGCACAACGTGCGCAGCGTCGTCTTTTTGCTGATTCCACTGGCAAATGATCCCCGACATTTTTCATAACTTTGGTTCTTTTTGATGGCCTACCATGACTGTTGCGTCGAAGCTTAACTAAAGTTTGTTTTTTCCCTTTTTCGATTAGATCTTCTGATAGAGAAAATAGAAATTCCAATAGGGGTATTTTCTTTTGGGTTCGGCGTAAGTCGTTATATATTACCCAGCTATTAACTACAGAAATCATCAGCAATCGATAAAATACCTTTTTCCACCATTTACATGATTTTCGATCCAAATTGTAAACGCCGCTCATTTGATCTGCAAGATCAACTCCACCCATTATTTCGTTATAAAATGCAATGGCGGTAGGGCATGGCACATCAACTTTTTTGCCACTTTTGTCTTTTCTCTTTACACTTGTCATGACTGTACTTTGGCAATTACTCAGCACAATGACTTCTTTCGTATCTTGCCATCTGGTTGCGAGAGAGCTTGATTGATTCGTCAAAAACTCACATTCGCCTCTGTTCATTTTTCTTTTTTCTTTAAATTTTTTGGCATATCTTTTCTCGTAAGTATGGCAGTTCCCACTGCTGGGTACTGAAGGTAGTCCATCAAATGTACTGAAGTAAAAAATCGGTCAAATGCCAATACAACATTCGGATTTCTTATGGTCTCACATAGTTTTTTGACTACTGTTTCACCAAGAGTTCCGCAGCTTTCAACATCTTCTTTGCCGCAGTATACATTTGTGTCATATGTATATCCTGTTTTAGCGTCACATCTACACCATAATTTTATGCCTCTCTTTACTGGTTTTTGGGGCATATACTGCTTCAATGACGACCTTCCCTTGAAGCCAACCATGCTTTCGTCTATGATTTGCCTCGAACTGTCAGATTGATACTTCTGAAAAGTGTATTTGAAACAGGATATGAGTTCCTGTACGTAATATATTTTACTAGAACCTTCTGGCTTTTTGGGGTCGTTAAAATAAAGCTTAGAAAGAAGAAACAAACATCTGTTCTTAGATATGGCTGATTTTATCGCTTTGTTTCCCAAAGATGGATGAGATGACCAGTAATGCCTAAGATTCGGTACTTTATTGTAGCACATAACCAATGAGCAACCGAGAGTGATCATAATTTCTCCTGCATCAGTAAGGGTAGCAGACTTGTTATTGCGATTATACATTTGAATTCTCTGGTTTGTACATTTAGCAATAAAAATAAACAGACTACGCGGAAAAAGTTTGTTGAATATTTCTAGTGGAGTAGAATTTGCGGTAATCGATGGGTCTACGGCACACTGAATTTCATCCGGAATACTGAACCGTGGTATGTGAGCATCTCTTGTCGGTAACGACCATATTACATTGCCATTCATAGCAGGAATTTCAAATTGTTCGCCTGAGTTTTCCGCAGTAATATTTCCTTCTTCTTCTTCAGTATCGCTATTGTCATTTTGAATATCTTCATCAGAACTAGAGGACGGCTTGTACGATTCGTCTGACTCTCCACTGTTATGAAATGGATCTTCTTCTGAAGATGACTCCCCAGAGGCAGTACTCAATTCATCTGGTGAAGATATTTCGTCTAAGTTCTCAGTGAAGTATTGAAGCTCAGCATCAGTCAGTTTTTTATTTTTCTTGCTCGACATGCTAAAAAACCCACTGGGATATAAATCACCCAGTCAAAAGACCCACTGGGACACATGCATCCCAGACACAAATATTGAATCAAATTATGCAAAATAAATAATCAAAAATATATAGAAATGTTGCTCTAATAGACTCTTAACTTTCCTGAAAGAATCTTTCAAAATAACTAGGCAACAACGACGAAATTTGTACAAAAACAGGACAAACAGCCGAGCACGTGCTATTTCTACGTTGTTTTCGAGTACACTGATCAGCACAAAGCATGCCGCCGCGAGTGAGAGCCTTGCATATGCTTCGGAATACCCATTAAAGACCATTCCTATGTAATACGGGATATATAAAGCACTGTGGGTATTTTAAATCATACGTTGGGACTTATATGTCCCATTGGGGCTGAAAGGGTTAAGTCGATCGATTAATTCATTGGGATCATCCCAGTACACGTATTCGATTGGTTCCTCGTTGTATGTCAAGTAATCACCGATACCTTTTCCTGTTGGCGGTTTTGATGTTGATGATGTTGTTGTTGTTGTTGTTGTTGTTGTTGAGGGAGTGGATCTTGTTAATGATCGACTAAGTGGACTACGTATTTTTGTAGATGTTGATCGTGTGACAATTGTACCTTTATTTTTCTGCACATCTTTAAAGAGAGGCTTAATAATGTGATTATATTTAAATCCTGTCGAACCTTTTAGGCGTCCAAGCGAATCTAAATGAACACCGGTACTTTGCAATAGATTTTTATAGGGTTGTAAATCTGCATCTGCATAGTTTGGGTCATTATAGAATAAAAGTTGATACAGCCCAGGTGTGCCACGAAACCATGTACCTGCTAAGTTTGTCCCCTCAGGTAATATCTGTATTTGGCCAGTCGCTCTATCAAATTTAATTCGGCGTTTACCTAACATCCAACCAATGTTGTCGGTATATATAGGTCCATAATTTTTATCAATTTTATCGTTTTGTGTCCAAAAATCTTGTAAATAATTATGGCTTATTGGGGGATATTGATCTAAGTATTCTTCTATTGCTTCTTGTGAAAAATCAGCAGGACGCATTTCTTCAGGTAGTGGTGGTGTTTCAGGTCTCGGCGGTATATTACCTTGTTCATCAGTTGAAGCCACGTCTTCTAAATTGAGATAGTTTGGGTTCTGTGTGAATACATCATCATCATCATCATCATCCTGTTTCAATTTTTCCTCTTTTTTAATAATAAATGAAGGATGCTGCTGAGTCTTAGCTATTTGCTTAAGAGGTTCAGATATTGGTTTGAAAAGTTTTCTAATAGATTCATCTTCTGCAGTTCGACCTAACTTTAAAGTAAGATACTTTTTACGTATAGCTCGAGCAAGTTCTGCGATCTTTCTTTTATGACTAGCAACGGCAACTTGGTCCTTTGACATCATGTTACTGAATGATGGCGTACATGATAAGCCTACAATTTTATGTACTTATCAAATCCTACTCTGTATCGACCATAATTAAGAGGAAAGTCTTTAACAATAACTAACGTACCGTACTTTTCTGCCCAACATTCCGAACACATCTTTTTGAATTCATCAAAAGTAACATCTGGAGATACATGCTCATCAAATATATGTTTTAGATTAATTTCATCCTGCTTAAATAGTACTATAATGTTACAGTTGTCTCGTATGAGCTGTTTTGGAATTTTAGAGTATGTTTGGCAGAGATATGCAGCATCGATATCTTTATGACGACACATGGAGTAATACTCTCGAATTTTCTGCTGACCGTCACACGACACGTCGTCAAATATAAATATAGAGCTATTTTTAGCCTTACTTGGACTTATAATTTCCTCGTTATCCTTAAATGGGAAATAGCCAACACCCTTAGCAGCGGAAATCACTTCTTGAAGCAGTTGATACTTTGGTTGATACAACGATTTTGAATAAACGTAAACATTTTTAAACTTAGCACCGTTTGGATGGAAAAGCAGCGCTAGCATTACGTTCGTTTTTCCACATCCGCTTGGTCCGCAGATGATAGCGCGAAACGAATTCGGTAACAATTTACCATGTTTACTATGTTGAGTTTTTGCTGTAAAATCCAAGTTATCAATGGGTAATGACTGCTCTTGTTGAACAACCTTCATCGTGTGGCGTTCGAATAAGGAATGTGTAAAAGTATATATGTAGATATTGCTAACGCATCATCAACAGTTCTCATGTTAACGTACAAGGGTGAAGGTGTTGTAAACTCTCTGATAAATAATCTTCCGATAGAACTCCACGTACCTTCGTATCAGTTCCTGGGACGTAAGTGTGCGACAGATTAGGATATTTTTTTTTTCATTCTCACACATGTATATGTATATTTTCAGCGGGGACTAAATTAAAGAAGAGGTTAGCACGAGGAGATCCTGGAAAGAACCCATTGGATCGTGCTGCAAGAGACCACGATATTGCATACGCCTTATACAAAAATTTGAAAGACAGACACAAAGCTGATTGGATTCTTGAGAACCGAGCCTGGGAACGTGTAAAAGCACCTGACGCTTCACTAGGAGAAAAGACTGCAGCTTGGCTAACAACCACCGCAATGAAAGTTAAGCGAAAATTGGGTATGGGGCAGAAGAAATCATCTTTTCGACGAGGTGTTCTCACGAAAATCACAAAGTCCTTGAAGAAAAATGCTCCCACCACCACGACATTAAAAAAGTCTGCATTGGTTGCTCTTAAAGCGGCAAGATTAGCGGTGAAGAGTGCAGGTGGAAAACATAAAGTTCGACTACCGAGAATAATTCCGATCGAAGGAAAATCTGGGGGATTCCTACCCTTGATCCCCCTTTTCGCCGGATTAAGTGCCTTGGGGGCGCTCGCAGGGGGAGCTGCAGGTGTGGCCAAAACGGTCGTTGATGCCAAGAATGCACAAAAGAAATTGGAGGAAGACCATCGCCATAACAAAGCTATGGAGTCTTTGGGCAAAGGATTGTATTTGAGAAAAAATGCTAAAGGTGGTTATGGGTTGTACCTCAAAAAAAAAAGTCAAAAAAACTAAACATCAAGCTACCCAAGAAAGCGCTTTATGATTATGAAATAAAGCAATATGCGAAGCTCTTGAACATACCTCATTTCCGAGGTGTCTTCATGCGTGACACTTTACCACGAGACGGTCCACGTAAAAGAGAATGCGCCGTCGTGAACTTAGATATTTCACAAAACAACGGAACTCATTGGGTAGCTTATAAAAAGATAAACAACAACGTTGAGTATTTCGATTCATTTGGTAACCTGAAGCCTCCACAGGAACTTGTTCGATATCTGAAAAACGCTAAAATTTTCTACAACAACGATCCTTACCAAACTTATAATCAAGTTAATTGCGGACAATTGTGTTTGAAATTTCTATACAATAACAACAACAACGATGGATAATAAAACATTATCGGAATTTACATTAGAAGAGTTTGAGAAGAATATTCCGCCGCTGGAATATTTAATAAGCAATGTGAGACCTGCAGAATTATTGAGTATATGGCACAAACTGCCTGCAGAATACACATCCAATTTTGATCTTCAAATACGACTTCCATGCTATGTTCACTACAACAGACCTGATTGGACAACACATTGGGATGGACCGGCTACTGCTCAAGCAAATTGTTATTTCTGTAAATTATCCATTCGAAAATAAACAAAAAAAAAAAACTTGAATAAATGCTTAGTACACAGCTATATTTTTTCATTCATCATGTCGCAGTTGTTGAGAGTCAATAGCACTACTCATATATTTTCATTTCGTCCTTCAACACCGATAGTGTTGGATCCGAAAAAAGATTATGAATTGGCGCTTAGGTCTTTTACTTCATACAATTCCATACCGAATATTGAAAAAGGAGATAAATTTTATTATATCGACCGGATAGGTGGTGGTGGTGGTCAATTAAAAGTCATCGAGTTTCCGACAGGTTGTTATGAAATTACCGACATAGAAACATTTATACGAACGCAAATGAATCTTGAAAATGAAGTTGCTCCTCCGGATGATTATTTTTCTCTAAAACCTAACAATAATACACTGCAATGTGAAATCTTTAGCAAGTATTATAAAATAGTTTTTACAGAACCGAATAATCTTGGACATCTATTGGGATTCTCGAAAAAAGTTCTTAATCCTGGTCAAAAGCATTCTTCTGATTTACCTGTAAACATAATAAAAGTATCAACCATACACTTTGATGCTAACATTACGTCGGGAGCCTTTGACGGAGACACGCCTGCACACACGATCTACGAATTTGCTGTGACAGCCGATCCTGGATACGCTATAGTCGAAACACCTGTAAATTTACTATATCTACCTGTTATACCGAAACAAGAAATAACCAACATCACAGTGTTGGCTTTAGATCAAGACGGTCGTCCTGTAAACTTTCAAGGTGAAACTAGTACTCTTGTGTTGGAGTTGAGAGCGAAGCGCAGATGGGATTAGTGATTATAAGACATAGTGGTGCTTCCAAGGCAACTTCAGTATTACCCCAAGCACCTAAGCGACGACATCTACTACTAACTACATCAAATATCCTGTTTCTACGCTCACTTGGATATCATGTCAACAACAACAAGAATCATGTACAAAAAGAGAAAAACTGAGGAGGCAGCAGCAGCAGCATCACATACTTCTCCGATGTTTGATCTATATCGATCTCCAGCATTCGATGAATCTATTCGCAAGGCTGAGTATAGATCTTATACGCCGTTCATCAGGTCATTTAATTGTAATGATGTTGTGGAATTTAGCATCAATCAAGTAGATTCGTTCTTTGCAATGAACGCTTCCCTTCTATCTATCAAAGGAAAAGTTGAAATAACTGGAGGAGGAGGAGCAGGAGATGTATCTTTAGCTCCAAACTTTGGTGCCTTCCTATTTGACTCTTGCACTTACAGTGAATCCGCTAGAGAAGTTGAAACAGTACGTGATCCTGGTATTGTAAGTACTGTCCGAGCTTACGTATGTTACAGTGAGGAAGACTCAAATCATATGGCTATAGCTGGATGGAACTATCCTTCAACACCTATAATGGCGTCAACACATAACAAGTCTTTTAGCTTGCTAATGCCGCTTAAACATATTTTCAACATTTTCAATGATTATCCTATGATTACGTGTGGCAGACAAACTCTCAGATTTGTGAGAGCTAGAAACGATAACGATTGTATCATTATCAAGGAAAAAACTGGAACGACGACGACAGCGAAAATAACTATTGAAAGCATGGAACTGAAAATCAAACATATTTACCCGAGTGATGATGTGAAAGAACAACTTTTGAAAGCTATTCAAACTGATAAGCCGATACTTATACCATTTAGAAAATGGGATCTGAATGAACTGCCTGCAATTACCGCAGATGCGAGAAGAGAAATATGGTCAGTTAAAACTAGCACCGCAATCGAAAGACCACGTTTCATTATAGTATGTTTCCAAACCGGTAAACGTGACGTCGCAACCTCAGACCCTACCCTGTTTGATCACGTGAATGCTGCTAGTATTCGAGTATCTTTAAATGGTGAATACTATCCCAACGAACGTATGCAATTGGACTTTGCAAACAATCACTTTACTGAAGCTCATTTCAACTATAGCGACTTTCAAACCAGCTATACAACTTCTTCTTCTCCTCTGAAGAGATGTCTTTTAGATTATACCGCTTTTAAAAATCGCGCTTTGTTTGTTATTGACTGTTCCAAACAAGAGGAAACCATGAAATCATCAACTGTTGATGTTAGATTGGATATCGAAGCCGATACTGGCTTTCCAACCAACACCAAGGCCTACTGCATCATTATACATGACTGCTTAATCGAGTACTTCCCCCTCACCGAAGTTATTAAAACCATCTCGTAAGCAACGAAGGACTCTCAGTTCCGCATCAGACATCATGAGGATCGCGTTTGTTGACATTCAAGGCTTTACAGTTGACGGATTATTCGTACCTAAAGAACTATGTATCGAAATTGGTTTCAAGAAAAGTCATTACATCTTTACACCTCCGCAACCTTTTTCTACATTAAATACTAAAGACAAGAAAACTGTCGCTTACTTGGAGAAGAATTTCCATGGGCTTAAATATTCTTCCGGCGACGTTAAATATTCCAAGTTAAATGAAATAATTAAAAATAAGGTGATATATGCGGCTGACTATGTCTACGTTCGTGGAGAACAGAAAGCAAACTTTTTACTCAAGAAATGTCACATTTTTGGTGTTTTTCCCAACATTATTGATGTTTGCAAGTATGATGGTACACCGTGTGCTACTGGAAACTTTGTTGCTGATTCCAATCCATGCCACACCAACGGACAATTTTCCTGTACCCAGAGAAATGTTGAACGTCTACGCCACTGGTTTTCAAATATCATATTACCTATGTAGTTTTTTCTATTTTCAATAAAATATTAAACGTATTATTGTAGTTTTATTGAAAATACCTCTGGTTTGCGAAATAATTGTCAGAATGTCTATACTATTTTCATTTTGAACGGTATCATCCTGTATAATAATAACAGTACATCGTATACAGGTTATGAGACATTCTGACCGACCGACCGACCGACCAGAGGAGCTCACCACGCTATTTAGGTCACGCCTTGCTATATACGATTTAACGATATACCGTCGGTCCATCGATCCGCTATTTTTCGATGCACCCCTGTATACACGTTGCCCCCCGTAATCCACGCCAACACCAGACAGGTGCGACATCGGCGCCATCTATGCGCGAGATGCCCAACCCATCAATGGCAGCTGTCCAATGACGCATAGATTCCGTTAGGTTTGTACAGCGCCAAACAAATCGGCGCCATCTATGCGCGAGATGCCCAACCCATCAATGACAGGTGTCCAATGACGTATGACAGATGACGTTTTAACGCCATCTATGCGTGAGATGCCCAATGACGCATGACAGGTGTCCAATGACACACAGATTCCGTTTGGTTTGACAGCGCCATCTAGCGGCGGAATCCCCAACTCATGAATACAGATTCCGTCCAACAACCTGTCAATGGCGCGCGACGCCAGCGCCTCTGGTGGCGGATTTTGGAAGTTTTGAGACCGAATCCCCATAAGACATCTACTAATACCCGTCATTAGTAAACTTCAGCTCATTGCAGTTCAGCATGTCTTCAACTGTCCAACTGTCCGATTACAGCGAGAACCACTTTGAGAGCATGGAAACTTACAGCAATTTGCTGCTGACCGAGGGTGTTTCACCGCATTCGAACTCGACCGAATCTCCGCCACCGTATAGTGCTGCTGGGCCTGCTGCTGAGTACGGGGGTGAAAATTACGGTTTACAAGCTGGAGTAAACGCTGGTACAAACAACTACCATGTGGAAAACAACTTTGTGGTAAGCAGATGGAAGATTTATTCTAGTAAAATATTTGAGCTTGATGGATAAAATTTTACATGCTAGTATATACGTATACGTCTAAAAGTAGTTTGAGGATTGAAAAAATTCTTACTTGGATTTGAATTTTTGGATAAAGAAAGATGATCAAACCATTGCCTGCTTACATTGTTATACGTGTATTCGCAAAAAACTTAAAAAATCAAACCAGTCTCACAACCATCATTTACAACAAGTTTCCCGCATGAAAATATTTTTTTCTTATACATTTTGGAACCAGAATATTCTCTCATACCAACTATACAACCAGTTAGCTTTAAGCTTCAACATAAAAGCAATGAAAATGTAGTCATACTATATTATAATAACATTTTTTTGTTTTAGTATCAGGATCTACAAATCAACCAACAACGATCGAAATGGACAAACGACCAACAGCCCAATTTTTCATTTTCGACGCATGATCCTCAAGTTGCCATCGAGGAAAAACCACTCTATAGTGTCCACATTCCCTACGAATACGCTGACAGTCAAGATAAAAGATCGACAGGTGAGTCATCACGATAGTGATAAGCAATACCAACTTTTGTTTTAAATACTATGATTAGTAACGGACGGTAAGCTACTTGTATACAGGTACATACAAATTCAAAACGCAGAATATTGATGCATTTTTTATATTTCCTTCCGCAAAATTATCATTTACTTATTGATCGTTTCTAAGAAAATTACTGTGCCATCGATTCTCAAAAAGTACCAACTAAAACAGTAGATCGCTCTGTTTCAAGAGAATTTATCAAAGTCGGTTCGCCGGTTGCTGAGATTGCGCGAACAGGCTAATAGGAGTGGCTAGAAGCTTCATAGTATGGTTAGCCCAAAGCGCTAAAGAGCATATTGTTCCAAACGAATTAAATAAAGAATTTGGACATATACCTTTTTTAAAAGAAATAGTTAATCAATAGTCAATTTTTACAAACTTTATAGTAAACAAGGTTCTCTAATCTGTGTTTAGAATACTGGACTTGAGAACAAAAGTACGAATTCTAACAATAAAGTCAACAATTCTAGTGACTTTTGAGTGTTTTAAATAATTTCTGAATAAATGTACTTTACAATATTTGGTAGATTATTATATGTTCCTACTGCGTCAGTGACATGGTTATTAAATCCTATATTAGCTCTAGCAGGAATCTGGTAGAAGTTATTGATTTTTTTTATTTTGAAGATAATTTCATATTATTCTAATTCCAACCGCTCATCTAGTTTACTAAAATTCAGGTCTGTTTACATATTATCCATGTTGTCAGGTTGGTCATAGTTAAACAAAATTATTAATATTTTATTTTGCGCAACGTGTGCCCCAAGTTTTACCACACTTCCTCCAAATAGGTAAAATATATCTGAAGTGTGACAAGGAAAATGCATTGTAAATGTTTATTTTACTTTTTGTAGTTACGTAGTATCTACTTCACTACAAAGCAGCTGTCATCGACGTTGTCTTATCCAAAAAAGTGTTCTCTTCTATAATTAAAACCAAGTCTTTGATGCTTTATACCTGTTCTACTCTGACGTAGTTTACTCTTATACAAAAGTTTTCAATTATTTTATTCTTCTCTTTAAAAATTAGAGCCTGCTCATGATTTCCTTTATAGAGAAGAACTGTGTGGTCAGCAAAAGTACTCGTAAAATACCTTGCATTAAGATTAGCACTTTTTAGAATTAGAACATGAGATAAACATGGTCCTTGGGTGACCCCTGAGGAACATCATACTCACTACATAACGAGTCTATTTGTTTCACCCATTTTCACATATTGTTTCGTGTAAAGTAAATGAGTTTCAATCAAATTATACATAGTACACCTACATCCCATATTTTGAACTTATTCAATCATATATTGACATCTGCCACATCAAATGATTTCTTTAAAGCTGTCAACACCGCTATAACCACTTGCTCTTCATCCAGTGCCCTTGGGATATGAATTACAAAATCAACTGCAACTGAAAGCGTTCTACTTTTTTTATGATCCCATACTGGTAACTCTCAGCTAATGTATTTTCATTTTTGAACGACAACCTTCTTTTTTTTATAATGTTTTCAACAATTTTAGATAAGACGCTGATCACAGATATTTAAAGTTATTTTAGAGTAATTTCACTCATTTTAAGCTTATTTAATCATTTTAATTATTTATTTGCCATCGTGACCGGGTGCTGAACTTATTTTTAATTTCAGTATGGGTTCATTCTCCTCTTGTTCATCAGTGAGGTCTATCAAAACAATGTTATGATGAGAGATATCTATTTACATTATTTACGATATCTACCTTATCATGGACGAGAACCTTCTCAATCTTCAAACAATTAATAGTAGCCCCCTCTGTCCAGCTAAGTTAAACTTAGTGAAAAAATACCTATACTTCTGGTATTTTATTTGATTGTTTAATCGGTTTTAATTTTTATAAATTCCGCAAGTAAATTCATATTTCAGGTATTTCTATACCTATCCAGAAATTATTTTCACGTATTCTTTCCCACTTGACGTTACATTCTTGAATTATACTAATTAGGTACTGGAATGTAATAATATTCACTGTTTGTACCTCCTGTTGGACAAGACTTTGAAATCAGTTATAATCTACAGTTTTTATTTCCTAATCTACCTATAGCTTATGAATTTTGAGGCGATGTTTAACATCCACTGACAGTACCTTATGATCCAACACTCACATTATAGTCTATCTTACTACCACGATCACTGAGAATTCACATATTAAATTGTTTATTTTGCAGTTATTTATTGTTAACAAATTTGTACAGTCAAAAGTCACTAGATAATCTTCTAGCAGGTTTATGGTGATACCTCCTAATATTAAATGATTTCTTGGACGTTTAAGGAGGATAAACTCGAGATACGGAAAAAGTCATTATTGCTGTACGATGATGGATTGTAGGTTACACTAATTTTAACACTTTGTTCACCTAAACCAACACACATCTAGTTTATGATGTCATTAGCATTAAACACAGAAGAGTAGTCTCTAACTCAAAAAGGCGGTTCTGCAACCAGGATTCATAAACCACTAGTCTTCTTTGAACATACTATATTGCACAAGAACATTATTATTTCTGATGTAGTGCATCAGCTATTCATTTAAGCAATTTTAAGGCGTTCTCGAGGCTCTTATAGTTTTCCAACTGCTCCTTGTTTTCAACTAACAGAACTTTAGATCGCTCATATTTCCGTAGGAAAACGCTTCAGTTTCATTAATTTTGACCTGCTCAGTAAATTTTGTAAGCACTGCGTTGCATCTTTCGTCCATTGCATCCAACTTAGGCGTAGCTTTTTGCTTGTTGCTGATCAATTTATTTTGCTCCATCTTCAGCATTACACAAGTTACACAACTATTGGTGGGAAGACTTACTCAGCTTCATATAATTTTAGACATTGCCAGACAGGTCATATGCTTCCAAAGACTGCATTTATAACATCACACATCATCTTGGTCATCAAAAAGAGACTTATTGCACAAGCCCTTGGCAATCCACTGGTACTGCTTTACCTTCTTACGCACTTGTGCAGACTAGTCTACGACAACACTAGAACTCACTTTTCATATTTAATTTCTCAATTTTCCAATAGAAACAACAACTTGATCGAGTAAGAGAAGCAATAAACAACACCAGCACATATCACAATGTATTCTGAACATTTATTTGCCAATACTAAAACTGAAAATCACCAATGAGTAGCCAAACTAAAAAGTTTGTCTCTTTCCAGATACAGAAAAGAGTCCTCCACCAGGTCCAAGCAGTCCAAAGCCGAACTCAAGCGGTACTCCAAATACAAAACGAGCCAGAACAGCTTATACTTCATCCCAACTTGTTCAACTGGAGAAAGAGTTCTACACTAACAAGTACCTGTGCCGACCAAGACGTATCCAAATGGCTCAAGACTTAAATCTGACGGAACGTCAGATCAAAATCTGGTTCCAAAACAGAAGGATGAAATATAAAAAGGAACAAAAACAAAGAACGTCCTCTCCTGGATTAGACAACAGGACCTCTCCTACTCTGTCAGGTGCTGCATCAATTGCTAGTTCAAATAGCAAGCCAAGGGTTCATACGGTGAGGCCTGAGCATCATTCGGTCACTGGGAGGCAGGTTGGTCATAGTCAATGCTTGCCACAAACTGTACAGAGAAACCAGTGGGAAGGTAACGTGTTATACAGCAGCCAATGTCAAAGTTTATACCAAAACTTCCAACTAGATCCGAATTATCAATACCAAAATCATCCAGTCAACTGCTATCCTGTGAACTACGAGCAACCTGTGGAGGATAAGCCATTATATCAGCCGTACCTCAACATCAAAACAACTGAGCAGCCGCCAAGTGATAACTATTTTTTGGGACAGAAGAGTGAGTGTTCTATTGGTTGGGACAACCAATATTTATGCAATATAGGTGCCTCTGATAGTCTCACGAGTTTGTAAATTTACTCTACTTCTCCTAAATGCCACACACTTTTTTTTGTTGGTTATTCAAAACGAGAGAAGTAGTCCAAACAAGGTAGCGAATAACCCGCCAACCAAGATTCAATTTTATAAGGACATCTTGCAATGCGACTTTGCAATGCACGGCAGCATGATTCTTCCCGAATGCTTTGGTGCGATTTTTGGCATATTGACCGAATCCAGTAAGAGTTGCACTAGTATATCGTCGGGCTACTGCTAAAACCAGATAACTTACATTTTTATAATTCTGAAATATGTAGAACTTGAAAGTTATTTTTAAATAAAAAATCAAACAAAGACATAAAATACTTTTTTATTCACAACTTAAATTAATGGAAGTCTAAATACATAATCATAACATTTAGAAAACTCTTAACAACCAACACATTTTTTGCCCTTGTCTTGTTTTGGGATCAAAATCCTCTGCTGCTGGTTCTGAAATAAGATCCCTTGCTTCTTTGGAGGTCGGACGCGATTTTTAATAATAACGATATTTCTTAGGAATAACATTACTTTTACAAAGTTTAAGCTAATCTTGCTTCTCCTTTATTGATATTGGTACAATTTTTCTACACGCATCTTTCAATTTGGCTTGACTGTGGAGGTTGTCCTTCTCCTGATGAGTTATCTAAATCTAAAAATTCTTCAATTCTTCAACGTTATACGGTTTTTTATTCGACCTAGACGATATGGTTATGATGAAAATCGTCAACCAGTCCTGAATTGTGTAAATAGGAACTTTTCAATTGCACTGAGCATGATCTCGACCTCCATTTAGATGTGGCCAGTTCTTAAAAACGTTTGCACTATAACTTGAATATTTGGATTAATTTGGACCATGTATAGCAATAGAAAGAGCAATTTTGACTGCGATTTTGACTGATTCTACGATAGTTCGGTGGCATCAGAATATAGCTGATTTATGTAATTGTATACACAGGCGCCAATTTCTAAGCTACCTCTCTTTTCATATAGCTTTGTGCTCACGTATTAAAATGATGAGTTGGGAGGGGCAAGTAATCATCATATTTCTGAAACAACCCCTGATTTCGATTCATACCGGTACAACAAAAACCCGACATATGGTACTTATCTTATTGTCACTCTAACGTCCTTATATTAGCACTAAAACAAAACTGCCAAAATGAGATAAGTGCCTTATGACTTATTTTCGCTATTAGAAAACTAGCAATGTCGTACGATAATTTGCATGTTGCTAATCGCAGGTGCATGTCTTGTTTTAGATGTCCTCATGTTGTATTTGTAGAACACGCATACAAATCTCTCCCTCCTAATATTAAGGTATGTGGTTTTGCCGGCACACAGATTATACCATCTTATAAAGGGGTACTTAACCCAAAAATGTAGTTTTCTTTTTTGGCAGTAACCCGACGATATGTGCGTTCTATAAACTGTAATTTTGATTGTAAGGTAAAATATCAATTTTCTGGGTGATGTTAATGCCTGAGTTTCATAAAAAAATTACTTTTTCGTGAAAATGGTGAACTTCCTTGTTAAGTATTTCATTTCTAAAAATTTTTTGAGCCATTGGATATGTCAATTTGGAATTCATACTTTGAATTACAACTCACCAAACCTTTTGTCAAAGTTATTTATGTGCAATCTTACTTATGACGTTGAAACTCATTAGTATCCTCATCATTAATTTGAACTTGTTGGTGTCCTTGACACTGGGTATAGGCATTGGGTTAAAGTCTTACACCGATATGCAGCGCAGAAGCGTTTTTGCTTTACTGAAGTCATTTAACGTCTTTGTAAAATATTTTTCGCCTGTTTATAGCTTTATGTATTTTTACTACCTAATGTAATATTAACATAGTTATTATTTATACAAATATAATAAACTGACTTTCTTGCAAATTGAATGTTTAAATATACTTTTTCGCCCCTACTCAAGTAAGTCAAGCATTGTAACCAGTGCTCATTTCGCATGAATTGACACAACAAAATATCAATTGAAAGTTATAAGCACTTTTCAAAACTCCAGGTACAGAAATGCTAAGAACTTTTAATGACATGACATGATATTCAGAATGACCACAAAAATTAAAAGCGCTGAAACACTGACTGCTCTAAATAATTATTTGTCCAAAGATTATAAAATGCTCAAAAATACACAAAAACAGAATTAAGCAGTACTTCACATGGATTGATGTCTAAATTTTGGGTACAGAATAATGCTTTGACTTAAGGTATTAGTAGGCTGAAACCATCGTTTGGAGTTCTTCAGAAATCCAGATCCCTACAGCAACCTGAAAATTGTAGAGTGATAAAGAAAACTCTGAAATACATAGTTTGTTACAGGTTTTCAACACTCTGGTTTTGAAAATTCTCAAAGCCTTTTCGGGCTTGGTTTGATAGTAGCCATGTACAAGAATTTCATCAAAGTGTTCCGTGTTTGACCTAAGAGACACTTAATAAATACTGTCAGCCAAAATATTATATAACATTTCATAAATATTTGCCTGCGTTTTTTTTCCTATACCTCCTTCTATGATTAGGTAATTTCTGGCAGACAACCTGTCATAGTCAAGCGAAAAGGATCCACAGTATAACTTTAGAGTGCAATTTATTTCATATGAAATAATATATAGGAGAAAATAGTAGGAAGGAGAGTGGGGAATTCAAGTCTCGCATTAATTTCTGAATACTCAAGCCAATGTCTTGTGAATAAGAATAGTAGCTACTCATGGTAGCCATAGCTACCTTGCAGCTTGGGGGTAAGAGGCGATTTTAACCAGGCTGCCTCAGAAGGAAGGTTATGCTTTTAGCGCGTGCGTATGTGTATGGATAGAAATAATTCTATTTCAGGAGGTACATTTTAATAAATGGCATGACGGCTAGGGCTAAGATCTAGACTTAGCCTCAGCGTGGGTCTTGCGAAATTATTGAAGGCTCGGTCTTACTGTTGCAAATTTTGCTAGTCGGGTAAGATAGTCCCATATTACTTTTAATGCTTAATAGTGGTGGCAGTGATGATATAAGTAACGTTAGCAGTGTTTTTGGTCTACCTGCTTTAGCATTACTACTGTTCCAAAAACCGATTAGAATAATATTAATAGGTCTTAGTAATAATAGGTTCTGGCTTGTAAACTTGTATACATATCATAAAGCTTAGCGTTTGTGATTTAGAATAGTAGCTTTTATTCTTAGGATAAATACTTATATGTATTCAGACTACTTGCTAAATAATTATATTTATCTTTGTAACCCGGTGGCGCACGGAACGTGTTACGGATAAGCTGCTGAAAATACTTTTAGTTTTAATGGCAAACGTACGGCCGAATCTATGAGGTGTGAAATATGAATAATAGGTATGCAGAATTACCATCAGGGCTGAAGGTATATACTAAGATAAAGAAAAATTGAACTGTACTCTTTACGGTTAAAAACGAAATCGTGCGACGATATGTCAACAGCTTTGTCATATCGAGTGACTTTCCTTCACTCAGGGTTAATTTAGACACTTGTGAACTTTTTGGGTGTGGAACTAGCAACTGGCAAACGACAATTTCAACCCTAATGCATTCACTCAAGCACGCCACGACAAAACATACAAACAACTGCTCTCGATCATGCTAGTATTGATCAGTACATTATAGTAAGACTATGCAGGGTGGCCCATCCATGTGTGGACGGAATATTACTCATAAACAAATACATTTGGTAAACTCTACTAATGGGATGTTATTCATGATATTTGAGGGCACATCTATAAAATATTGGCCATTATACAGGGTGTCCCAATTTCGACCTACATATCAAAGTTATGATTTTTTCAAATGGAATGCCTCCAATTTTATTGCATATTTGGGTACAACAATTCAAAAGAAAAAAATGGAACATACTATGGGGTTTTGGTAATTAGCTACTGTGATGTAAGGTGTTTTGTCCAGAAAAACCGTCCACTTCGGCAACCCCTCAACCCGCCATTTTAAAATTTGGAGTGCTGAGTTTTGTATAAAAAAAACTTACACACCTCATCTTGTTTGCTACTTTTTCGAAATTTCATGTTTGCTCATAGAGGGTGGTCAAAAACGCGAATTGTACTTTTTCTTAAAAATTTCAAATGCATCACTCTGTATATTTGTGCAAGTTTGGACTAAATTTTTTAAAAGCTTTTTTTGGTATAAGGTTTGATTCAGATAGAATCACTAGATTTTGAGTTATTGAGCTTTTAATAGAACAACACACCAAAATTAGGGAAAAAAGTCACATCATCCATGGATACAAAAGAGAAACAGTGGGCTAGTTCCATATTGCCACTAAGCAAAAGCATCCTTAATCCTGTCCTTCATATTTTCCGGGGTAGATGGTGGATATCTATAAACCTCTTGCTTAACATAGCCCCATAGGAAGAAGTCTATCGGTGTCATATCTAGTGATCTAGGAGGCCAAGATATAGGCCCATCATGACCGATCCAACGATTGTTGCTCTAGGTATCCAAATAATTACGCATACGATTATGATAATGCGCAGGTGTGCCGTCATGTTGGAAGTACATATGCATCTGAGTTTGCAGGTTGACTCCTTCAAAAACAAAGGCAAATGCTCGATCAAAGAATTCAAGTATTCTGTACCTGTTAACCTGTTGTCGAAAAACTTCTCTGCCAATAACTCCTCCCTAAACATTCAAGCTCCATTTATTTTGTAAATCTATTTGCGTAACCCAATAAGGGTTTTCCGTCGCATAATAGTGCATGTTATGGCTGCTGACAACACCTATGCTATTAAAAGTTGTCTCATCGCTAAAAAGAACCATATCCAGAAAAGTAGTGTCTTCACTCACTTTATTAAGCATTATTCTACTAAACTCCATTCGGGCTGCGAAATCTTTAGGACGAAGGCCTTGATGCAAGCATAGGTGATATGTATGGTACCTATGCTTGTGAATAATCCTTTGGATAGAAGTTCTGCATATATCAGTTTCTGCTTCAATTTACCATGCACTTAAATG